ACTGCACACAGTATTTGCAATGTGGCCTCACCAATGCCTTGTGTTTCAAAAATGCTTTCTGCTTTTCAATGATCAAACTGTTCTTATTCTATGTTTCTACAGCCTTCCCTTTCTGCACACCTTTGCAGTGGAACCTCTCAATTAACGTTAGGAAGACCTCCTATCGTTGGAAAAGGAAGAGGCCATTCAGCCTCTCAAAACTGTTCAACCGTTCTTTTAGATCATGGTTGATCTGTACCTTTTTGCCTTATTTGCCAGCCTTGGTTTCACATCCCATAATATGCTCACCCAGAATCTAACAATTTCCATTTTGAATTGAGTGCTCATCTTGTAAATTAAGTTTATTTTCCAGGCAGAAAGTTTTAACTTTCTTTCTGAGGCTAACGTCTGCTGGCTTCTCCATGCCTGGAACTACTAGCAGTTATTTAAGGAGATTAAATAATGTAGGAAGGATTTCAGACTGTACTCCCAAAGCACCTCCAACCACATTTATAACTGAGCTAATTCTTTCTCACCCATCGTAAATCATTCTAATCAAATTTGAAAACTTGTGTAGGTCTCAAAAAGCTATTATGAATCATTACATAAACTTTCTTAAATAAGATATTAAAAATGAGTTTCAAATTTGCTTTTGATTTCTCTTTTTCCAGTACCACATCCGAGCTGTTCTGCTCCTTAAACAACTTAAATTTGCTCTTTGTAAATGAGCTGCAATGAGCAGAGATTATCTCATGTCATTCCTGATTAGTTGAGAGTGAATGATATTATTATCATTTGCATTGATTCAGTTAAGCAGCATCAAAATGCGCGTCTAAATCCTAAACCCCACAGTTCAGTTCTGTTAGACAAATCACACTTTTCAGGTTGTCTAAGATGGTTCATTAGAGTGGCTAGATCACCTAAATGTGTATACGCACTAATGCCTATCAGTTCAAACTATTGCAATGATGTGTTAATTATTCCAATGAAGGTACTATGCTGTTATTGTATTGGTGTGAAGTTTGCATTGAAATGCAATCGTGTACAAATATCTGTTCTAGTCTGCCTTAGTCATGTGATCTCTTCCATGAGGTATGTATCCGCAGACATCTTAAGCCTCACTTCAATAAAGTCCTGGTGTCATACACATGAAACATAGTGTCAGAAACGGTGAGTATCCACAGCTAAAATGAAAAACACAGCAGCAGAGATGTGAGCTGCCACTGATAAAGTAAAAAACAAAGATCGCATTGAAAACACGAAACAATGGCTGCAGCTTTCCCCCTGCTTGCTCTTATTCAAATGACTGAAAACATGAGGCAAAATTGGGAAATATTCCATGAGAAATGACAGAATTATGCAGTAGCTAGATTTACTGAACAAATCAGAACAGTTATAAGTTGCTACACTTTTATCACGGTTTGTTTCAAAAAGGGATTGTTTCAAAATAGATTCCATGTAAATCCCTCTGAAGAGCAAAAAGAAGTTACCACAGAAACTTTAAAATAATATTTTAGACATTTGAAGGCACGTTTTGAGCCCCAAGTGATTGTCACATACGAGTTATCAGACTTCTGAATGGACCTCTCAAATTTTAAATTTAATGTTGATCTCACTCTTTGTGCACCTTCTCTGCACCTGTAATATTGTATTCTTTGCTCTGTTCTATTACCCAAATGCACCTTGTATGGTATGATCTGCCTGCATTGCATGCAAATCAAAACTATTCATTGTACATGTGACAATAATAAATCAAATTAAATCCAAAAATTCTGTGTTTTTCAATACTAGAGAATACATTGAAAAAGAGTTTCTGTAGTGTAGTGGTCATCATGTTTGCCTTACACGCGAACGGTCCCCCGGTTCGAAGCCGGGCAGAAACAATGTTGCTCCTTTGTTCCTGCAGTAGGTTTCTGTATGGATGTGGGCAGAGCTTCTTAGTTTACAGGAAAAAGACAATGTTGTCGAGGAGAATACTGAGATACAGGCTAATAGACTAGATGGGATTGAGGTTCATAAGGAGGAGGTGTTAGCAATTCTGGAAGGTGTGAAAATAGATAAGTCCCCTGGGCCGGATGGGATTTATCCTAGGATTCTCTGGGAAGCTAGAGAGGAGATTGCAGAGCCTTTGGCTTTGATCTTTATGTCGTCATTGTCTTCAGGAATAGTGCCAGAAGACTGGAGACTAGCAAATGTTGTCCCCTTGTTCAAGAAGGGGAGTAGAGACAACCCTGGTAATTATAGACCAGTGAGCCTTACTTCGGTTGTGGGTAAAGTGTTGGAAAGGATTATAAGAGATAGGATTTATAATCATCTAGAAAGGAATAATTTGATTAGGGATAGTCAACACGGTTTTGTGAAGAGTAGGTTGTGCCTCACAAACCTTATTGAGTTCTTTGAGAAGGTGACCAAACAGGTGGATGAGGGTAAAGCGGTTGATGTGGTGTATTTGGATTTCAGTAAAGCGTTTGATAAGGTTCCCCATGGTAGGCTATTGCAGAAAATACGGAGGCATGGGATTGAGGGTGATTTAGCGGTTTGGATCAGAAATTGGCTAGCTGTAAGAAGACAGAGGGTGGTGGTTGATGGGAAATGTTCATCCTGGAGTTCAGTTACTAGTGGTGTACCTCAAGGATCTGTTTTGGGGCCACTGCTGTTTGTCATTTTTATAAATGACCTGGATGAGGGCGTAGAAGGATGGGTTAGTAAATTTGCGGATGACACCAAAGTCGGTGGAGTTGTGGATAGTGCGGAAGGATGTTGCAGGTTACAGAGGGACATAGATAAGCTGCAGAGCTGGGCTGAGAGGTGGCAAATGGAGTTTAATGCGGAAAAGTGTGAGGTGATTCACTTTGGAAGGAGTAACAGGAATACAGAGTACTGGGCTAATGGTAAGATTCTTGGTAGTGTGGATGAGCAGAGAGATCTCGGTGTCCATGTGCATAGATCACTGAAAGTTGCCACCCAGGTTGATAGCGTTGTTAAGAAGGCGTACGGTATGTTAGGTTTTATTGGTAGAGGGATTGAGTTTAGGAGCCATGAGGTCATGTTGCAGCTGTACAAAACTCTGGTGCGGCCGCACTTGGAGTATTGCGTACAGTTCTGGTCACTGCATTATACGAAGGATGTGGAAGCATTGGAAAGGGTGCAGAGGTGATTTACCAGATGTTGCCTGGTATGGACGGAAGGTCTTATGAGGAAAGGCTGAGGGACTTGAGGCTGTTTTCGTTAGAGAGAAGAAGGTTAAGAGGTGACTTAATAGAGACATACAAGATGATCAGAGGATTAGATAGGGTGGACAGTGGGAGCCTTTTTCCTCGGATGGTGATGGCTAGCACGAGGGGACATAGCTTTAAATTGAGGGGTGATAGATGTAGGACAGATATCAGAGGTAGGTTCTTTACTCAGAGAGTAGTAGGGGCGTGGAATGCCCTGCCTGCAAAAGTAGTAGACTTGCCAACTTTAAGGGCATTTAAATGGTCATTGGATAAACATATGGATGATAATGGAATAGTTTAGGTTAGATGGGCTTCAGATTGGTTTCACAGGTCGGCGCAACATCGAGGGCCGAAGGGCCTGTACTGCGCTGTCATGTTCTATGTTCTATGTTGATCAATATGTAATATCATTATCTCAGCTTGCAGAACCCTACGAATTTGCACAAGTAAAGGATGAGCTAATTAGAGACAGATTTCTATTAGGAACAAGGGATAGAAAAACGTAAAAACACAGACTGAGAGAAGACACATTTACTCACAGATGACCAATTAACCTGTGCACAAGTTCCAAGGTTGTCAATCAACAGCTAGGGCAGATTAATGCAGAAGAGACCAGATAGTCTAGGCACACACACAGGGCAGTCACAGGCAGACGGCAGTATGTAAATACTGCTAAAGACCTTGGGCAAAGTGGGAAGGCATATCCAGCACAGGGAGACCAAAGTTCTCACTGCAAAGAGCTGAACCAGTTTGCACACAAGTCTCTGGCTAAAAGGAAGCACAACAACAGGCACAAATGACCACTGGAGAGATAATGGCTGAAAACTCTGACAAATCACTCTCCACCAAACATCAAGCTGGTTCAGACAGTTGATCAGTGAGACGTGGTTTGTGACTGTTGGAATGAGCCCAGTAGTGTATATAGTTGGTAAACTGGGTAACCAAAAGCGTACATGATTATGCATGCCTTTTTGAAAAATGTTTTTGGCCAAAAAGGGGTTGTTTGAATTGAAATACAATTTTGTCTGACCTAATCTGTAGCCATGTGAGTTCTGCCACGACAGCTTTGCAAACAGACATCTTAAGTTTCACTTCAGTAAAGTCCTTGTGTTGGATGCACTATTGTGTTGTACATTCGAAACAGGTGTAACAAGGCTATAGGACTTGAATCAAAATAAGAAAACAAATGGCAATAATGGTGAAAACTTGTTTATTCCATATTCTGATAACAAAGCACACACAGTGTTGTTGGTCTGAATGAGTCTCAATTGTAATTTAGATGTGTTGGCACTGTTCTGTTTGATTGCTCTTTACTCAAGCAACTCAGGCAACAGGAAAAATAACCTGCATTTATGTAGCATCTTTAATGCAGTAAAAGCTCCAAAGATGCTTCACAGGAGCCTGGTTGGTCAAAAAGTGTCACTGAGTCACAATGGGCTAATTAGCAGAGCTACTTGGTCTTAGATGGATGTGAAAGATCCCATGAGCATTGTAGGAAGGACAGGGGATTTCTACCTGGTGATTCGGCCAAATTGTTAATCTTGAACCAACTAAAATAGATTATTTGATTGTTATCATTGTGGGAGCTTGCTGTGTACAAATGGTTTGATACATTACAACAGTGACAACTCAACAAAATATTTCAGTGGCTGTAAAGAGCTTCAGGGCATCTAAGAATCTGAACGACATTATAGAAAGGTAATTGTCTTTCTCCCTCACGTTCCAAATGGAGCACATCCAAATGCACTCAGTGTAGCCTAAGACTTAGAAAGTAAGGATGGATCTACTAGAGAATCCTCTTACCTTGAACATCTGTTTGACCTTCTGGCGAGGCAGATTAACATTGAGTTTATGCATTAGTTGCAGGACCTCACCAACACTCAGACAGCCATCCCCATTCTTATCTGCTTCAGCAAATGTCTGCTTTAGCCATGTGAGTAACAGTTAAAGACAACACGGAGAAATGGAGCTCACCTTCATTGACTATTGCTAAGGATCAGGGCGTACCTACAAGGGAGGGGGGTAGACTATGCATTTGGATACATTGTACAGGAAATAGTGAGATTGATGGGCTGAGTTCTCTTGTATACTCAATGATGTGCCAAGATTGACCAGTAATCATAAAATGATTTTCTTTTTATTAAAAATCAATTTGAGTCCGACAGACCTTGACACCAGACTTGGATACTGAAGGAAGGTTCTGGGAATTTAAGTTGGGAGGATAGAAGGAAAATGAGTGGGAAGGCAAAGACAGATAGATTTTTGAACAGTAAAGGAATTAAGGGAGATGGTGAGCGGGCGGGTAAGTGGAGCTGAGAACATGAAAAGATCAGCCATGGCCTTATTAAATGGTGGAGCAGCCTTGAAGGGCCAGATAGCCCACTTCTGCTCCTATTGTTTACGTTCTTATTAAGAAGTTGAGGGAATGCAAAACACAGTCTGTTTCTGAAAAACTGGACGCGCAGCAGGATTCAGCTCAGCCTCTGGCATATTCTTATACGCCCAAAAGATTTTTGCACTCAAAAGTGATCTCCACTGATGGAGCTCAGAGGAAGAGGCCAGCAGCTGAAGCTCATCAGTGGGTCATAAGTTATAGGTTTTTCAATTTGTTCTGTTATTTTTTCACTCATGCTGTAAGTATCCATTAGCAAGCAGAAAGCAACTCTCATCTCTAGTCAGTATTAAAAGTGTGTTGTGATGAGATGGGCTGCTGCTTTGCTTTGTTTTTTATCTTCCTGCCTTAGAGTCATTAATAGTAATGAGTGGGACATTACCATTAGGTAACAGAAAGCTACCAGCAGGCCATGAAGCACAGCAGTTGCTCCTGGTAAACGTCAGCTGTATAAGTAGGCAATGTAAAGATGGATGCTGGAAATATACTACTGCAGGAGCTTTCAACGTTAAATTCAAATTGCTCAAAGTCCGGAGTTCACCTTCAAATCAGAGAGAGAGAGAGAGAGACAGCCATTTACAGAGAGATTTTTTTTTGTAAAACTAAGGGTTTCCAACCCTCCAGCATTGTCCTGGAACCTGTAAAGATTAAAGATTCATTTCTAAGTCACAGCTGCAAACAAAGAAGCCCCTATGAAGAAAATTACCGGGGTGTTAAATAAATTACTCACCCTTTTTTCAGTTGGACATGTCAGATACCAATGTTGGGAGGGATTGGATGTTGTGTGATTAAAGCTCACAGACTACATTCAGAGTTGGTAACCCTCTTTGAAAGACTCACCATCAAGGGAAGTAGAATTGTGGGGGAATTCCTTTCACAGAGCCAGTACAGGTATGATGGGTAGAATGGTTTACCTGCATTGCATTACGGAAATTTTTGATCAACCTGTTCTGAGATGTTATAACACACCTCCGAAGCAGGTCGGACTTGAACCCAGGCCCTCCAGCCCAGGGGTAGGCACACTGCCAGTGCACAAGAGCCCCTGTGCTGCACTATACAACGACTATCAGTGTTCTTCCGCAACTGACAGGCTCGTTTTACACATCTAGCACAGACGAGTTAAAACTAGGAGTGACAGCTTTCTAATGTGTGATAACGAATTCCACCCGACAAGCTCTAGTTCTCAGGAGTCTAGGGTCGACAAGTTGCTCTCCAAATCCCAAATCCGAGGTTAATTCACAAATTGCACTGATATTTTATGCCATACTCACTGGCCCTGTGTGACATTTTTTGGCTGAAGGTTTGGAAATGCATGCTTCCAGCATTTCTCCCTGACAGTTGAGCAGATGCCATGTGAAAACACCAAACCACTTTGCATGTTCAATGTGTATTAAATATAAATTAATGGCAATATGGTTTTAACTGCACCACACCCCGCATAGCCCACAGAGTTTGGGGATTCAGACTTCAGAAGTGTAATTACACTGGGCAGGTAGACAACCTCTTGCATCTTTTCCACCCCTCAGAGCTAGCCGAAATGTGAGTAATAGCTTAACTGGGCTCTCACCTCTAATTTCAGACAGGGCCACCAAAATAAAAGTATCCCCAGGTTCTGATCTAGCCGACTTGGAAGTTTGGGATTGGATTTAGAAACATTAGGGTTGCTAACATGCCATGATGACTCCTGGAATCAAAGTTTTAACAAGATTAGCTGTTCTCATTATGGCTGATGTTATGAGGACCCGGGGACACAGATTTAACGTTTTGGGCGAGAGGTGGTGAGGAAGAACATTTTAAAACAGTGACTGGTGCAAACCTGGGGCTAATTGCCCATGATGGAGTGAAAATGGTGACGATTTAGTTATTTCAGAAGGAAACTGGATGGCTGCTTTAAGGAAGTAAATTCTCTGGGCTCTGGGGATGGGGTGAGGGAAATGGGTCAGATTGAATTGCTCAACAAAGAGCTGGAATAGACTCAATGGGGTCAATGGTTTCCTTCTACGCTGCTGTGACTCGTAATCTCCAGGCTGGTACCGAGTTTGCAACACAGAGTAATCCTAACAGTGGGATAAATTCCCACATTGGCTGAGGTTACCAGGAATGACTCTCCTTCTCAACCTCCTCCCTCGCCTGAGATGTGGTGACCCTCAGGTTAAACCACCACCAGTCATCTCTCTCCAATGAGAGGGCAGCCCTATGGTCTGCTTGGACTATTGGCAGCTTTATGTTTACTGAGAGAAACCAGGACAAAAAAGAAATCGGATCATAAAAGAAAATTGTATCTTTATTTGAACAAGTTCTGGTTATTAGTCTCAAAAATATTGGAAAGGGGAAAAGAACACTTTGACTGAGAGTCAAGAATCATTTCCAATCAGGTAAACAATGGATTGTGGGAAGGTGACATCCCACAAGGATTGATGGATCAAGTGACCAATTGGAGATGTGTAGAAACAGGCAGGAGATCATGAGATGGAAAGTCCTGGAATTTGTCCTATCAGAGCTGGCAAACTTCACCCTTTCCCACTATCTCATCAAAATTCAAGGGCATTTTCTGAACCAATTTTTTTGTCATATATTTCCAAACCAGCTGGTAACTGGTGGAAGACCATAAGCCATTGTTGTAAAGGATATTGATCACGTGTTCTCTGCCGTTTCGACAGGCTGTCTTCATCGCTGATCCCCGCCATCAAGTACTTGAGGCCTGTAATCCATGTTCGGGCCTCCTCACCATTCGACGAAACCAGGTCCAGAGATTCCATGTGGTCCCCATAATAAATACTGAAGCAGCAGTTTGGGTCGAAGCTCCCTTCTGGGTAACGCTGGAAGATTTCTGATTGCTTCCCCTCGCACACTTCTCGAATAGCATCTATTGAAACTGGGCACAGAACAAACGCCATAGCATTTTATGAAAGGAAGACAAAACCCATAACATCATCATTTTATTATTAGCAGGAATATGCAATTGTAACGCGTCACTCACTTCCTGGACACACAGGACAATTTCACAGTCAAAGTTGTACTTTCGACTGTTGTATTGTAGGAAACGTGCGAGTCAATATGCACGTGGCAAGACGCTCCAATGTGATGTCAGCTGATCTGTTATATTGACTTCAGTTGAGGGATAACTAGTGACCCACATTACCCAGAAGCTGAAATAATGACCCACAGCGATGAACGATGTCAACCTGGCATTTCAAGGAATTTGGATGCAATGACTGTGCTCAAAGGGGGTTATACAGATGGTGAGGCGATGAGGCTGTGGAGAGACTTGAACACTCTGGCACATATTGGGAACACTGTGCTCCCATTTCCATTGGAAATCCATTCAAATGTTAAAAAGTCATCTATAAATAAATCTACTGTCGTGGTAACTGAATGGTACAGGGACTAGAACATTGGCACCTTGAACTTGGCTTTAGATCCACGAGGAGAGCCTGCCATTATACAGTTGTAATAAAATTACAGCCAATTTAGCATTGACCAACACTCAGAAATGGAATAGCTAGGTGAGGTGTGTAGTGTGGGGAATAGGTGGGTTAAGGCTGCTTTTCCCAAAGTACTCTACTTAAAGTAAATGGCAGGGCAGGAGAGAAGGGCATTACACTGTCTGTCTCAGGCTAATATAGGGAATGTGTTATGTGTAATACATTCAGCTCCCTTACACAAGGCAGCACGGTGGCTCAGTGGTTCGAACTGGTGCCTCACAGTGCCAAGGGACCGGGTTCAATTCCATCTTCGAGTCACTGTGTGGAGTTTGCACGTTCTCCCTGTGTCTGCGTGGGTTCCCTGTGGGTGCTCCGGTTTCCTCCCACAGTCCAAAGATGTGCAGGTTAGGTGGATTGGCCATGCTAAATTACCCACTGTGTCTAGGGATGTGCTGGTGGGTTAGCCATAGGAAATGCAGGGATGGGTCTGCACAGGTTGCTCTTTGGAGGGGTCAGTGTGGATTTGATGGGCTGAAGGGCCAGCTTCCACATTGTAAGGATTCTATGAAATCAGAAGAACTAACATTAGAGTTTGGTGAGCAGCATGAGCTCTACATGCCAAACACTGCAGGACTGGAGTCACTGGAATTCTGGTAAGTTTTCCACATGCTCAGAGTTCAGTTGAACACCTCTCAACCCAGGTCAAGGGCATTTGTATTTTTTAGGGACAGTCAATCTAGGCTCATCAGGTGGCACAGTCACCTCTGAGTCAGAAGATTGTTGGGCCTAAATCCCACCCCACTCCAGAGGGTCGAGCCTGAACTTCAAGCTGACCACTGCCAGTGTACTATTGAGGGAATGCTTCACTGTTGAAAGTGCCATCTTTTGGCTGAGGCATTAAATTGAAGCCCCAATCTCTCTCTCTCTGTCTCTCTCTCTCTCTCTCCGTCTCTCTCTCTCACGAGGGGACCATAAAAGATTCCAGTCACTACTTGGAAGGACAGCAAAAGAGAATTCCCAAGTGTCCTAACCAATATTTCTCCCTTAACATCACAAACACTGACATATGGATAGATTACCAGAGAAGCTCAGCAGCTCTATCAGCATCTGTAGAGGGGGAAACAGGGTTCACATTTCAAGTCTGGTATGACTCTTCTGGACTTGAAAGGTTAACCCTGTTTCTCTCTCCCCAGATGCTGCCAGACCTGCTGAGTTTCTCCAGCATTCTCTGTGCTGGTTTCAGATTTCCAGCCTCCCTACTATTTCGCTTTAATACAAAATCCGACAAACTGGATAACAGTGTGCAGGAGCTTGCTGTGTGCAAATTAGCTGCTGTGTTTCTGACTTTACAACTGCGACTACAGTTCAAAAAGAACTGCATTGGCTATAACCAGCTTTGGGTCTTCCTGAGGTTGTGAGAAATTCTACATAAACACATGTCTTTCTTTCCACTGGAGTCTGGCTCAAGATTTCTTGGAGGTGAGAGCAGGATTGCAATCAGGTTCCTGGACCCTGTCACAATATCACGTTATTTGCTGCTTTTTAGCCAGTGGCACAGGTGCAATCAGTTTCTTTGAAAAATGTCATACGATTGCTTTCACAAGCTGCCTGGCCATTCCCTTACAATCTCTGCATTCCCCATGTAACCTATTGTACACCAGCCCCCATTCCCACCTCAATTCTCTCACCTCAACAAACATAACACTGGCTCCAGGGGGCAAGTGATCAGCATTGCTAGGGTGCAAATAATGGGACACATACCAGAGGAGGTATTTTTCTGCTCTATCAACAACTATAACATTCCTATTGTTATAAAGGAAGCTGTTGGGGGCCCATTGTGCGTGTACTGGCTCACGGAAATAGCTGACCGCTGTAGTTCCTCTCCCCAAACCTGTTCATTCCCCAGAACACTGAACATGTTTCTATTTCAATAAAATGCCTAAATTTCCTTACGAGGGTTCCTGAATTTGGACCTAACCTCAAACACATGTAGCAGCAAGCGCCTCCTCAAGAGATTTCTATCCCATTCTCAAACACCAAAACTTTCAGCTGTCCTTCTGCCTGAACCACATGCTCTTCTTCCTCGAAAACCCACCATAACTGCTGTAGCTTCACCAATACCTTCATTTAGGTGACTTAATGACCAATGTAGCTCCAAGGAAATAGGTACATAGTTTTGGTATTTAATAATTGGTCATTCCTTTGCTATTACATTGATTTTTTTATTGTCAAACTCTTCAACACGCTGTAAGCAATTGTTACTGATTACAGCCTTATTACATCCAACCTTATTACTGTATCTTGGTGACTCGGAGTATAATTACATGCTAATATGTTTGTAATTATGCTATTATGCAAGGAGTGTGAAGTACAGTATTGTCCAATGTTGATTCCATTACAAATACATTCTCATCTTTAAAGAGAATGACACCAGATTCAGCGCTGAGAGCCAATTAACAGAGCCACCTTGGAGAGCTGTCAACTGAGCTCATTAGTGTTTAATTGATTTGAGTCTGCTGATGCAGACCCATTGGTGTGATGTCAAGCCTAAGTCAACTCTTTCGTACTGCAGGAGGAGGAAGAGGAATGAAAAAGGGCGGATGAAATTAAGAGAGAGGAGAAGGAGGGGAGAGAGGAAGAAACTTTAAATTAATAATCAGAGAAGGGGAGGGAGATGGCAAAGAAAAATATGGAGGCAGTAAAGTTGAGGGGTAAGGAGTGGTAGGGACAGAACAGGAGAAAGGTGCAGGGGGGGAGAACCAAAAGGGGTGTGGTGGAAAGACAGCCTCTACCTGCTAGAAGATGAGAGGGGAGGAGGATGGTGGAGATTAATTGCAGAGAAGGACAGGCAGAGGAGAAGGGAATAAAATGAAAGAAAACAAGAATGAGAGAAAAAGTGAAGAAGAGAAATGGCTGGAGAGATAATAAGCATTAAGAAAGAGACAGATGGAGATGGTTGATGAGGAAAGAAAGGGTCGAGAGGGAAAGGTTCACATAAACAGTTAGATCAGTGGACCTGACCAGTCCAGCTCGTCCCCGCCTCCCTAACCTGTTCTTCCTCCCACCTATTCCGTCCTCCCACCTCAAGCCCCATCCCCATCTCCTACCTACTAACCTCATCCCACACCCTTGACCTGTCCGTCCTCCCTGGACTGACCTATCCCCTCCCTACCTCCCCACCTACACTCACCTTTACTGGCTCCATCCCCGCCTCTTTGACCTGTCTGTTTCCTCTCCACCTATCTTCTCCTCTATCCATCTTCTATCCGCCTCCCCCTCTCTCCCTATTTATTTCAGAACCCCCTTGCCCTCCCCCATTTCTGATGAAGGGTCTAGGCCCGAAATGTCAGCCTTCCTGCTCCTATGATGCTGCTTGGCCTGCTGTGTTCATCCAGCTCTACACCTTGTTAAATCACAGAAAGAAATGTCCAAAACAGAAATGCTACACTCTTTAACTTGACATAATCTCAACATTATGTGGTGTCTAAAACATTTAACCACACCCTCAAAAATCAATAGGTTCTGTCTTTGGTCCAAACAATAAAAAACTTGCATTTCTATGGCACTGCCTTTCGTAACCTGAGGCCATGTTTCACAGGCAAAGAAGTACTTTGAAACTGCAGTGACTATTGTAATGTAGGAATGAACCATGCCAACAAAATTTACACAGCAAATAGCAAATGATCATGGCGAGATAACCCTGTTTTTAATTGAGTTAATAATGTACCAGGATAACAGGGAGAACTGCCCTGTTCTTTTTCAAAATAGCACGTGATCTTTTAACTTTCAAATAAAAGAGCACACGGGACTTCAGTTTAAATCTCATTCAAAAAGATAGTTCTGACCATTCAGCCCTCTCTCAGTGCTACATTGGAACTTGTCCCAAACCCTCAACTTCCTGCCTCAGGCAACAGCACTATCTCACAGTTGAGTATGCAGTATACCTTTAAGAAGCATTATCACTATATCACAGCACCTGAATTGAAGGTACAAAAGTCTCAGACTCCATCTTAACTGGGCCACTTGAAGCATGGCATGCTGATGGAAGCATGGTATTATTTCTAACCAAATAGTTTGATGCTGGCCCAGGCACTGTGTCTTGACTGTAATATATGTATATATCAAGATCTGTATGAAACACCTATTGAATATTCAGTGCCATGTTCCTCACATCTAGTTCTTAAGTTATTGGAGTTCACTTAATATCGCCTCCTCAGGTACAAATACCCTGCTGTAGACGAAAGCCTACATCATAGTGGTAGCTTACTACCCACAAAGCCACCGGTAGTTATACTGCGAGTCAGACTCTCTCTAATCCCTTATTGCTGAGACCATCATTATTTTTTGATATTTTTCTCATTTATTTTGGTTTGGAACTGTGAGTTCAAGTTAAGAGTTGAAATTTGAACAGCTGCATGTTTTAAAGTGAAGAGAACAAAAGCTGATGTTT